GCTACAGTATGGATGAATCTTAAAACAATGTGTTGATGGGAAGAAGCAAGACATAACATACTGTATGATCTTATTTCCATAAAATGTAAACTAATCTCTAGTAACAAATAACACGTTATTGGTTGACTGGATATGAGGATCCATCAAGGAAGGGAGGGACTGTAAAAAGGCATGAGACATTTTCTGGAAGGTGTTGGAAATGTTCTGTAGCTTGATTCTGGTGTTATTCTCATGGGTATGTACAGTTGTCAAAATTCATTAAATGGCATGCTTTAAATGAATGTAGTCCATTGTAAAATAAATTATCCTCAGTAATACTGATAAGGAAAAAAGATAAATTGTTTATTTAAAGCAAAAATAGCAATGAATTTTATAACATATGTAGAAGATATTGATAGATGGATAGATAGATGTTATATAATCTCAACAGTAGCACAATGGGTGTGAGAATGAAATGGAAGTATATTTTATTATTATCAGGTTCTTCGATTCTGTGAGAAGTGGTATAACATTATTGAGGGAAGAACATGTTAGGGGCAAGATGCATATTTTAAACCATAAAAATCCCTGTAAAATAAAAATAACAGTTAAAACTCTAACAGTGGAATACTAAAACCTAAGCAATTAATCAAAAGAAGACGAGAGCAGAGGTAAAAAGAACATATGGCATAAATAGAGGGGAAAATTGCAAGATAATAGTTCCAAACTCAATCATGTTGATAATTACCTTAGGTGTAAATGGTTTAAACACTCCTATTTAATTTGCTGATTGTCAGATGTGATAAAAAAAAAAAAATCAAGACTAAACTAGATCCTTGCTGTAAGAAACCCACTTAAAATGTAAAGACAAATAGATTAAAAGTGTGAAAATAAAACATTTACACCTGCAAACATTAACCGTAAGAGAGAAAATAGAATATTACCAGAGATAAAGAGGAACACTTCATAATGATAAAGAAGTCCACTCATCAAAAGGTCATAACAATCTAAATGTGTGTGGACTCAGGACACCTGGGTGGCTCAGTCAGTTATGCATCTTCCTTTAGTTCAGGTCGTGATCCCAGCATCCTGGGATAAATCCCGCATCAGGCTTCTTGCTCAACTGGGATCCTGCTTCTCCCTCTGCTTACTGTTCGCCCCTGCGTGTGCTCTCTCTCTCTCTCTCTCAATCTGATAAATAAATAAATAAATAAATAAATAAGATCTTAAAAAAATTTTTTTAAAAATGTGTATGGACTCACAAAAAAGCTCATAATGCATGAAGCAAAAATGGAAAGTATTGAAAGGAGAAATTAACAAATCCAAAATTATAGTTGCAGACATCAGTCATTCTGAGTAATTGATATAATAAATAGTAACTGATATAAAAATTGATATAATAAATAGTAATGATATAAAAGATATGAACAACATTGCTAAGGAACTTGACTTAAAGAAATTTATAGAGTATTCTATCCAACAACAGCAGAATGCACATTCTTTTCTTATTTTATTTTATTTACTTTATTTAGGTATAATTAACACAGTATTATATTAGTTTCAGGTGTACAATTTATATATGACTCAACAATTCTATACATTTCTCAGTGCTCATCAAGATAAGCATACTCTTAATCCCCTTCACCTATTTCATTCATTCCCCCCAGTTGCCTCCCCTTTGGCAACCACCAGTTTCTCCTCTATAGTTAAGAGTCTGTTCTTTTTTGTCTTTTTCTTTTCTTTGTTCTTGTTTCATTTTTAAAATTCCACATATGTGTGAAATCATATGGGATATATCTCTGCCTAAGTTAATTTACTAAGCATTATACCTTCTGGGTGCATACATGTTGTTGGAAATGGCAAGATTTCATTCTTTTTATGGCTGAATAATATTCCATTGTATGTATATACACCACATCCTCTTTATCCATTCATCTACTGATGGATGCTTTTGTTGCTTCCATATGTTGGCTATTGTAAATAATGCTGCAGTAAACTCAGGGATGCATATATCTTTTTGAATTAGTGTTTTCATTTTCTTTGGATAAATGCCCAGTAGTGGAATTACTACATCATATGGTATTTCTATTTTTATTTTTTGAGGAACTGCCATATTGTTTTCCACAGTGGCTGCACCAATTTGCATTCTCATGAATACTGCACAATGGTTCCTTTTTCTCCCCATCATTGCCAACACTTGCTATTTCTTGTGTTTTTTATTTTAGCCATAATGACAGGTGTATAGTGATATCTCACTGTGGTTGTGATTTCCATATCCCTAATGATTTTTGACATTGAGTGTCTTCTCATATGTGTGCTAGCCATCTGAATGTCTTCTTTGGGAAAATGTCTGTTCTTTCCAAGTGCACATAAAACATTTATCAAGACAGACCATGTAAATTTAAAGGATTGAAATCATACAAAGTATGTTTTCTGATTAGAATGAAATTAGAAATTAATAACAATCACATCTGGAATAATCCATATATTAGGAAACTAGACAACACACATAATTTATAGGTCAAAGGAGAAGTCACAAGGGAAATTAGAAAATATTTTGAACAAAATGAAAATGAAATAGAACATATCAGAATTTGTCATATACACCTAAAGCAGTGCTTAGAAGAGAAGTTAAAATACTTACATTGGAAAAGGAGAAAAATAGAAAATCAAGGGTGTAAATTTCCATTTAAGAAACTAGAAAGAAGGAACAAATCAAATTGAAATCAAGCAGAATGAAAGCAGAAATCACTGGAACAAGAAATAGCCAAAAAATAAACATAATTAAGCCAAAAATTTTTTTCTTAAAAAAAAAAATAGATAAATTGATAAACCTTCAGCTAGATAATTAAGATAAAAAAGGCACAAATGATCAGCATCTGGAATAAATGAGAGGACATCACTACAGATCCTATAGACATTGAAAGGATAAAATTAAATATTATGGTTATTATTACTAGTGTCATCTCAATGTAATGTCAATAGGTTTGACAATATATATGAAATAGAAAATTTGTTGAAAGACATATGCTATGGGACTCTCTGCTCAGCAGGGAGTCTGCTTCCTCCTCTCTCTCTGCTTACTTGTGATTTCTGTCTGTCAAATAAATAAATAATCTTAAAAAAAAAAAAGAAAGACTTATACTACTAAAAGTGACTGAAAAAGAACTGGAAAATCTGAATAGCTTCATCTCCCATTGCTGGTGAAATCTACCAAATACTTAAGAAAACATGCCAACTTGACACAAACTCTTCCATAAAATGAAGGAGAAGGGAAAACTTTCTAACTCATTTTAGGAACATTACCTTGACACCACAAACCAGACAAAGACATTATGAGAACAATATCCCTTGTGAACAAATTGTTAGGGAATCACATACAGTATATTTTACTATAAAATAATGTACAGTGATCAAGTGGTATTTATCCCAGGAATGTTAGGCTTTTGTGACATTTGAAAGTCAATCTATATGATTTGCCCTATGAACATTATAAAGGAGAAACATCATATAATCATCTCAGGAGATGACACTCCATTGATAGAGAACGGTCAATGAATCAACACCTCTAACTGCCGTCACTCTTATCAATCTCCAGAGTCTGAAGCTTCAGTTGAGAAGACCGTACTTTGTGGAGAAAGGCCATACTTTGTGGTACTTACCATGAGTTTGAGATGCTTAGGGGAAAGTCCCCAGCTCAGTGTGTTTACCACCCTTGATTAGAGACAAGTCCTGGAGTTTGGTAGAGCATAAAAAGAAAGAGTTCACTAAAGCTTTTAATCCTAGCAGTTGTTATAAACAATAACATTTTAAGAGAGTTTAAAAACAAGGTCTATAGGGTGTTCAAAAGAAGGGAACAAGAGTGAAACCCGTACCTTCCATTATAGTGTTTTGAAACATGGCAAAGAAGAAAGCCAGAGCTGGGGGCGGGGGGTGCAGTTAGAGGGAGGCCCATAGACATTGTGTTGCACAGTAGTCGTGGCCACAGGTGGCCAAGAGATGATGGAAAACGGTGACTCTTACCACTTTGAAGAAAGAAATTATTCCTATCTGTATACATTTCTATTGGTGCTATAAGTAATTGCCACAAACTTGGTGGCTTAAAATAACACAAATTTGTTATCTTATAGTTCTGGAAATCAGCTGTCTGAAACAGGTCTCAGTGATGAAATATCAGTGTCAACAAGGCTGCATTCCTTTTGGAGGCTCTAGGGGAGAATTGACTTCCTTGCCTTTTCTAGCTTCTGGAGGCTCCCTCATGACTGGGCTTGAGGCCCCTTCCTCCATTTCAAAGGCAGCAATGGCTGGTTGAGTCTCATGCCACATTTTCCTGACTGCTTTTTTGTCACGTCTCCTCCTGCCTCCCTGTCACTTATAAGGACCCTCATGAGTACATTTGGGCTTCTGGTTAATCCAGGATAATCTCCCAATCAATTAAATATGATCGATTAAATATGATGATTTAATCATATCTAAAAATCCCTTCTGCCATGTGGTGTAACATATTCTCAAGTTTCAGGAATGAAGACCTGGTCATCTTTGGAGGCCATTATTCTGCTTAGCACATTTTCAATGGAAGTAGAATTAGAAAAATTAAAAATATGAGAGACATGTAAAGCATTTTTGTGTGAAGGGAAGAGGGAGATAATTTGGAATATGATCTTACATGGTAGACTACAGCAGGGAGAGAGTTAGTTACACCGAGTGCCCATTTCTCGTGCGGTCAAGGGGTGTGAAGACAGTTGCCAATGTGAGCAATGGGGTCTCTGAGGGACTGGCAGAAAAGTGAGCCTGAACAAGAAGCAAGGGAGAAGTTTTCCAAGAGGACGATGGCGTGGTAGAGCCTCACAGAGGCAGGGTGCAGGGTGACAGTTCTGAAGGGCACATGGAGAATTTGGTAGCATCTGAGGAAGGAGCAGGTATCACAGTGGGCTTGCCTCAGACGCGCCTGCACTGTGGTTCCCTGCGGGTGGGAGAGGGGGTGCTGCTGAGTCCCTCACGGGTCTGCACTCCTCTCGCAGGTATGCCGGATTCCTCCTGGACGAGGACCTCTTCCATGGGAAGGAGCTTGTGGACAGTCGCCCACTGCAGGCGCTGGTGGCGGGGCTGAAGGCCTACAGTACCTGGGAGAACGTCAGCTGCCTGCAGGACTGCCGCGAGTGCACAGGAGGCATGGTGAGCCCTGCAGGCCCCAGAGGTGCCAGCCCCGCACCCCCAGGTCCCCCTGCTGTAGCATGGGTGATGTCAGCACTCTGCGCCTGTGAGCAGGGCATCAGCTTCAGGGGGAAACCCATTGTCTTCGTGACCCTGAGTGCACCACCCAGCCTTGGGATCTGTACATCTACCTCCTACCATGCTGCGTAGGCTGATGGGGGACCCCTGCATTTGTAAAATGCTAGCCCCCATGGCCTGGCCCATGGAGGCCTGAAGTAAATGTCATGAAACTTGGTGGTGGTTATTGTTGACAGTATGGGGAAGGTACAATGGGGCCAGATGATGAAACCGATTCTCCAGTGTTTGAATCCCTTGGGAAGAACGCAAGAAATGACCCCAGGGTGGGGGGATGGAGAAGGGTGATTAGCCCCAGAAGAAGGCAGACAGGGATGTGCTAAGCATCTGGAGACTGCTTCGTGTGTCCCTAGCCCTGAGCCTCAGACTGGATTGTGTAGTGAGGGGCAGAAAGTGTGAGAAACCTGTTTGAGTTATTGAAGAGTTGAGGGGAACTCTGAGAACAGCTGAAATCTGTGCCCGATTCCACCACAACCTGAGGGCAGGGGCCCCTTTTAGGATCTGGGGAGTCTCTGTATCCTTATGGGGACTTGGAGCTGGTAAGAAGGGGAACCCACGTAGGGTCTGTGAGGGCATGGCAGGTTGGATGTGGGGTTTGTGGACCTGTAATACTGTGGCATGGTGAGGCTATGGGGATTAGCTGTGGTGGCAGCCGGGGTTCATTCTCAGATGACAGACCTGCGTTTGTGACCCCCAGGGACTACACTCCTTCTCTGGCATGTGGGCTGGATGCAGGTTCTGCTGGAGCCTCCAAGAGACATTTCCTGGAGGAAGGAGGGGAGGAGCCCCTATTGGGTTTTTGGCCTGAGCTTGATCTGAACTTGGCTAAATATTATCCTATCAACAGTGGCCCCAAACCTGCAGAGGAGGATGATGAAGTTTAGCCTCAGTGAGAAGGGATCAAGAGCAAGTTAAAGGCAGGGGTAGAAAAGAGGGGAAGGATACGTTTCCAGAAAGTCTGCTGCCCTGCTGCTCTGTATCAGAGCCGGGACCAATGGAGGGGTGAGGAGTGAGGGATGAAGGGCAAGGAGTAAGGAAGGACTGGACCTTCACAATAGGCACAGCCCAAGAGTTTCTCATAAACAATATGGATGGAAACGAGGGCCTCCTGCGAAAGCCACTGTGATCATTTCTCTTAAGGTGGCTGAGTAAAGATGTGCCCATGAGGCAAGGAGGCCTTAGTTAGTTAGGTGTACACTCTGTGTCCGTGACAATGGTGGGGGCGATAGTGATGGACATGCCTGCTTTGTGCCCGTGGATGTTGCGTGTGAGTCCACATGGAAGGAAAGAGAATGCAGAACAAAGTAACAGCTGGCACTGGGGCACAGCTGGACCAGGCGCTGAGGTCCTCTGAGGCAGCGAGGTGCCATGGCTCATTGTGACTTTCCTCAGTGCCCTGACAAGGTAGGAGGCTCTTGCCACATGGCTGGTTTCCAGCCATAGCTCCAGGGACGTGGCCATCTCTTGGAACAGGAGTTTGCTGGCAGCAGGTAGGAACAGGACTCTTCTGGGCACAGCAAGAAAGTTGAGGTCAGCAGGTGGGAGGTAAGACCGGAAGTGACCCCTCTGGCAGGGGTAGCCCATCTACGGGGGTTTGGGACTCTGCTAGGAGTGCTGAGAGATGCAGATATTGTGGCTTCTGACTCAACCCAAGGGTGTGCTCAAAACCACCTGTGGTCTTCTCGTCTTCCTCCCTTGGCTCATTCCTTGTGATGCATTTCATGGGCTGACGTGCCCAGTGGTCTCCTGCCCCTGGACCTTCATATCCTCCCAGGTGACCTGATGGACAGACAGGATGGTGGATAGATGGACTGATGGGAAATAGGATGGTGGATAGATTGGTTGATTGAATTGTTGCCCCGTGCATTCATTATCTCTGATAATTTAGTTTCACTGGAATGTTACTAATTTAGCTCTTTGGGGTTTAAGACTATGTATTTGAGGGATGCCTGAGTGGCTCAGTCAGTTAAGTGGTTGCCTTCAGCTCAGGTCATGATCCTGGTGTCCTGGGATCGAGTCCCACATAGGGCTCCTTTCTCGACAGGGAGTCTGCTTCTGCCTCTGCCTGCCTGTGCTCGCTCGCTCTCTGACAAATAAATAAAATATTAAAAAAAAATAAAGACTATGTATTTTAAAATGGAAAAGGGAAAAAGGCTGTTAAATGTCGTACAGGCATTGACACTTAAAAAAGCTATCAGTTCTTCCTGTCTGCTTAGCTTACCTCGTGCCCAAGGGAAAGATTCAAGACACAGCAGCCTCCAGTGTTTGGTCTAGGCAAGAGTTCAGCATCCCAGCATTGTTGCTCTTAAAACTGTTCTGTATAAACCTTTGGATTCTGAGGTTCTTTCCCTCCACATTGAATGTTTCCATACCAGTTGGTGGTCTATTTTAATAAAATTATCACTGTGCATCAGGAAACCAGGAGAAAGTCTTAGGTTGGCTCTTTCTACAGAAGTCTCAGCAATTGTTGCTTTCTTTGGGTGGTAGGTTGAATGTTGCAAGAGTGACATTTAGTTGCTAAAAGAACATACTGCTAAGAGAAGCATAGTCTGTCACTTTTTGTGCAGAAAGCCTGGGATAAATAAGATCTCATACAAATTTTTTTTCCAAAATTAGATCATCAAATGCACAATACTGGTTGGAAGTTACATAATTCATGTTCATGCAAGCATGTCATTGCCTTAATGACTGCTGATTAAGAATCATTGTTCAATATTTCTTTTTTTTTAAAGATTTTATTTATTTATTTGACAGAGAGATCACAAGTAGGCAGAGAGGCAGGCAGAGAGAGAGGGGGAAGCAGGCTCCCCGCTGAGCAGAGAGCCTGATGTGGGGCTCGATCCCAGGACCCTGGGATCATGACCTGAGCTGAAGGCAGAGGCTTTAACCCACTGAGCCACCAAGGTGCCCCCAATATTTCTAATTTCTGTCTGTGTGTAGAACGGTGTACAAGGTACATGCTCCCTGTCCTGAGGGCCAGGTAATACAAGGCGGGACACTATACATTGTGCATGGAACTGCGTGGCCCTAAGATTTCAGTCAAATGAGCTTTCGGGGACTCCCACTCCAACCAGGTTGAAGTTACCTGAAGTTACTCTCCTGATTAAAACAGCAAGACGCCCGACATCAGGCAATGAGAGTGAGGAAATTAAATTAAATTAAATTAAATTAAATTAAATTAAATTAAATTAAATTAAATGAGACTTATATTTGTCCCAGTTTACTACCTCGAGAGTTTCCACACCATGCCTTCAGAGGGGCAACCGAGGCAGAGCCCAGGGGACTCCCTGATTTGAAGACACCATGCTGAGAGTTCAGGGAGACAAAAGCATCTGGAATTCATGGGATAGAGTAGAAGACAGAAGAGAAGTTGTTGGTCAGAGAGAGAACTCAGGCATCTTCAGGGGTTCCCTTCAAACATTCAGCTGAGCACTGATTATTGCATGTGTGTGAGGGAAAGAATCACCTGGAAGGTCTGGAGGGAACAGGATCATGTCTTCACATGAGAATGGGAATAGTGCCTTTTCTCATAAGCCAGCCTGGAATACTTTAAGACTCAGCCTGAGAAAAAAAGAAATGTTATGTATAAAAGAACAAAGTTAAGGATGACAGCAGATTTCTCATTGGAAAAAAAAAAATAAAAACAAGTGGAGCGACAGTTTAAAAAGTACTGAAGGAAAAAAATGAAGTTAAAATTCTATACTCTGAAAAATTATGTTTCAAAAAAAAAAAAACCATTATAACAAAGATGTGTTTGGACTTGCCAAAGTTGAAAGGATTTATCACCTGTAGACTTTCACTATAAGAAATATTAAAGGAAATTCTTCACACAGAGAGAAAATGATATTGGATAGAAATATGGATCTGCACAAAGCAATGAAAAGTACCAAAAATAGTAACTTTTTTTTTTTTTTTAAGATTTTACTTATTTATTTCAGGGAAAGGAAGCACACAAGCAGGAGGTAGGGACAGAGGGAGAGAGAGAATTTCAGGCAGGCTTCCCACAGAGTGGGGAGCCCAATTTGGGGCTCAATCTCATGATCCCGAGATCATGACCTGAGTCCAAATCAATCGTCAGTTGCTTAACTGACTGAACTAACCAGGTGCTCTATAACTTTCTTAATATATAAGATTTTTCTTAGTATTTGAATCTCTTTAAAATGTAATTGAGGTGCGCCTGGGTGGCTCAGTTGGTTAGTGTCTGACTCTTCATTTCAGCTCAGGTCATGATCTTAGCATTGTGAAATGGAGCTCCAAGCTGAACTGTGTGCTCAGGGTGTATCTGCTTGAGAGTCTCTCTCTCTACCTCTCCCTCTGTACCCCCCCCCACTCATGCACACACACTCTCTCTCTCTAATTAAATAAATAAATCTTTAAAATGTTAGGTAACTGACTCTCTTAACAAAAATAATAGCAATGTAGAGTGAGTTTTATAACATATATAAAAGTAAAATGTATGGCAAAATCACATAAAGGCCAGAAGGGGATAAAAGGAAGTGCACTATTGTAAGGTTCTTATGCTATACCTGAGGTGGTATGATATCACCTGAAAGTAGACTGTGGGAAGTTGAAAATTTCTATTCTAAACCCCAAAGCTACCACTAAAATAATACAACAAAGAGTCATAGCTAATAAGCCAACATAGAAGTTAAAATGGAATTCAGTACTAAGTCCAAAAGAAGACGAGAGAAGATGAAGTAGGGGAGAATGAAGAGATTGTTCAAATATAAAACAAATAGCCATATGGTAGATGTAAACCAAACCATGTTCCTAAACACTTTAAATGCAAATACCCCAATTAAAAGGCAGAGATTGCCAGATTGGATAAAAAAGCAAGACCCAACTATATGCGTATGAGAAATACATTTTGAATAGAAAGATCCAAA